TGTGGGTCAGAAATAAACATGATGACCCCTAACAACAATAAAGTAGCTAGACTACTACAATGCCTAATTTATCCAAACTTCTGAGGCCACTCTGCTACTTAAAATAATTCAAAAGTACATCTAGTACTTACAAAACTCAGAAGACATACACTTGTGTTTTATTAACTAGGCAAAGACATTCAACTGAGTGGCTCATAACAAATTAAGGATAACAGAATGGGAATTCAAGAACAGTCCACTTTGCTTATTTGGAACCTTGACAAACACCAAGATGCCTCACTAGAAGAAAACAAGAGATGTATGCACTTTAATACAAAAAGGCATGCACCACAGTGTTATCCTTGCACTCTATTTATTCAATCTGTATGCAAAACAACTATCAGAGACACTGGACTACAGGATGAACAAGGCATCAGCTTCAGAGGAAAACTCATGAACATCTTTCGATAGCCTGAGGGCACAACCTTGCATGCGGAAAGCAACGAGGACTTCAATCATTCACTGAAGAAAATCAGAGGCTCTCTATGTTTCAACATAGAGAACAGGAAAATCTTCATCCCTGGACCAGAAAGCAACAATGGGACAAACACAGGAGAACACTGAAGTTGACAAGGATTCCATTTTACATGGAACCACAATAATGCCCAAGGAAGTAGTAGTCAAGAAATCAAATGACATCACATTGGGCAAACTATTCAAAGCAAAGCTATTGCTTTAAGGACTCAAGTACACTTGAGCCAACCAATGGTATTTTCAGTGGCCTCTGTCATGTGAAAGCTAGATAATAAATCAGGAAGACAGAACAAGAATCAATACAGTTGAATTAATGATTTTAGAAAAGAATACTGAATTAACCATAGATTGATTGTCAGGCAAACAAATTTGTTTTGGAAAAAGTACAGCCAATATGCTCCTTTAGAAGTGAGGGTGGTGATACTTGTCTCATATGCTTCGGACATATCAAAAGGGACCAACCAGTCCCTAGAGAAGGATATCATGGGGTCTTAAAGGCTTGGGAGATAAACAAGCGGCCATCTAGCTCAGAAGCAACAAAGTCCACATGGAAGAAGCACACCAGCTTGTGTGATCATGGGCGTTATGGTATCAGGTATCTGGCATCTAAGACTCAGAATAAAACCATACCCAAGGTGAATAGGGAGTTGGGGGCATGGAGTGGAGACCCAATGCCTATCTATAGACAATTGGACGTCCTCCCACAGAGGCATCACAGGGAAGAGATGAGCCAGTCAGGATGCAGTATAGCACCAATGAAACACAGAACTTTCCTCTAGCTCTTTGGTGCTTCCTTCACCCCACTATCATGACCACAATTCTACCTTACAAATCAGATTAGACCAGAACATGCACACTGCTACAGATAATCCAGGATAGATAAACCACTCAGGGCCAACAATGAGAAGAGAGATACTAGGAGGATTAGGGGAGGAGGAGGGGGAGAAGTGGGGAATCAATCACAAGGATCAATAAGAATCCCCTAAAATGATGATGGCGGCATATGTGCTGGACACATTGGAGGATTGTATGGATTGTGATAAGAGATCTAAAAGCCCCCAATAAAAGTATTTAAAAAAAAAAAAAGAGGATGGGGTGGGGGGGGAGGAACAGCCTCGCGGAAATGAACTGACAGTGGCTGCAACAAGAGGCTCCACAGAAGAGTGGTGATGAGGAAGGTGCAGTACGCTGCCACGTTTCTTCTTTCTGATTATGCTCATCTGGGCGGAGGGAAACCTCCACCCTTGCAGTCAGCAGCTACGTGCTATGTCTTCACACCACCCCGAATGCCTAATACCGTTTGGTGTTCCATGTTGGTTAGTTGATTCTGAATCATAGCGACTCCACGTGCCAGGGCAGAACTAGAGGCCCTGTGGTGGCATTGCTAGGGGATCTGACCACCAGCTCTTTTCTCCAGTGGAGCAGTTGGTGGGTCCCTGCTCATGACCCGTAGTTAGCAGCTGTGGCATGAGAAGTATTGTGCAACCTGGGCTACTACCAAAACTCATGGAACATCCAAAAATAAGAGCATACGTAGATAGATGTTTAATGGGCACACATATATGGGAGACTGAAAAAACGCTTCCTTCATTTGCATCAAATAAGCCACACCCCTCTGCTGCTTGCCTGGTTAGGTTAGTCACAGATCCTTCCTAGGAATCGTCTTCCTTGATTTTTGGTAGAGATTTGCTTGAACTACCTTAATTTAAATCTCTACTACTCCTTTCCCTTCTTTTTTGATTTCTAGACAATCAACCACTAAATCTTACGGGATTTCCTAACATAATTTACATAACATGGATATATGCAACTGGCTCTCTTTTTAAATCTTTCTTTAAAGATATATTGAGGATGGACATCCAGTAAACAAGGACTAGCATCAAGGAGCCCCGACAAGCTGAAGTACTTGGCAAGGGCCTAAGGCAAGTCCACTCTTAATTTACTTCTAGTCCTTATACTGGCTAAACAAATAGAGAGGCTGCTTGTCACGAGGGCTAAGTGCTGGACAGGTAACCCAGCAGCTGGTGGTTCAAACTCACGCAGCAGCTCCACAGGAGAAGCACTCAGCAATCTGTTGCTATCAAGGTCACAGAAACACAGCAAACTCGCAGGGGCCAGTGCATGCTACCATTTTGGCATCAACATGAGTCCAAAATTGACTGGACAGCACCCACCACCAAAGTATGGTTGAATTTCTTACACTCCGCACACCATGCTGGCTGCACTGAGGGGCCTGGCCAAGCATTTTGACTGAAGTTAATTTTCATAAGGTACATCTTATAGAGTTTCCTAGAAGCCAATTTGTGTAACAGCATTCAAAGATCAACTGACACTATTAAAAGCAAAACAAAAAGACCTGGAATTACATAGAGTGTCATAATATGGTAGTTTCAGGACAACTAAAAAAAATTCTTGTTTCATTTCAGTGGGCTATTGTTTTGTTTTAAGTTCCGGAGTTATAATAAATTAATATGGCCCTTCCAGCCATATTTCCTTATGTGATATGTATTATAATTCTGGACTCTATACGACTGGGGCCATAATCCCATTTTGGGGGGCATTTGCTACATATTAATGGACAAGAATAGCGGGAGATTAATACATGACTTTAGTAGAGGATTCGAACCAAGTTATACCTTTTGTTTCCTTGGGAGCATCTTTAAGACCCTACCATAGTAGAGGATGTGATTTACGACATCATCCTTTGTTTTGCTTGTATGCAGTATACTGGTACCCCCATACAGTTCTAGCACACTCAGGATACCTAGACAACCATATTGCTAGTTCATGCATGAGTTCTGGTAGAATTAAGAAGACCTGATGTGGCTTTTGGGCATTTTTGGCTTCTGGCTCTGGACCCTACCTTTGGCTCGCCTCTGTCTGACACTTAGATATGGGACTGGACATCACCCACCACTACGGGAGACATTTCTTGAGTTTCTGTGGGATGTTACAGAGAATCACAGAACCCAGGGACATGAGAAAATATAGTACTTTAGGGAAGAGAGGTGGGAAAATGAAGCAAAATAGCATCTTGGAACAGTTGGACATTTGTTTAATGTCCAACTCCTTGGGACTAATCACCTGGTATTAATTCTTCTACAGAAATCATTTCCATATTCTCTACATAGAGCTCTCTGTGTGGGTTTGTTACAGAAGCTGCTCATATTGAAGTATTACAACACTGGCAGAATTGGTAACAAACATGCGAGTGTATACCAAGAGCAATCATACACAAATACATTTTGGGCTAGATATTAAATCATATAGCTATTTCAAGTAGGAAAGGATGCAAAATAGAAAAAGTATGTTATGTTTAAAGAATTTGAAATAAAAATGAATTCTACTTCTCGGGATTTTTTTTTTTTTTAATCTAAGGGCTTAAAAACCCTATAAAAGAGCCTTTAAAAAAAAAAAAATATATATATATATATAGAAAGCTTTAGTGCCGGTTTTTAGTAAAATTCCCAGTACATGGTAGGCAATCAATAACTCTCTGTGGGAAAAAAAACAAATTAGTGGATTGGATTCTTGCTTGCTTTGACAAAACAGATAAACTCAGCAAGCATCTATTCTAAGTTGCCAAGAAAGCAAGTGGCAGAACCAGTAATAAAGTTCCAGTCAATAAATCTGTAGTCTCTACAAATCATGTTACAAGATGTTACAATGATCCATGTCTTCATCATTACCCTTATTCACATAAGAAATAACTACGCAGGTGAAATGAAGCCAACAGGTCCAGGTCATTCGACAAGGCAGGTACAGTCTAGATTTACAATATTAAAGTCAGAATATTTCCTTTTTCTTCTTCTTTTTCTTTTTAATTCACAAGTTTCTATTTCCCTAGATGCCACTGTAGGGTTCCACTTAAACAGCTAGCTGAAAGGAAACTTTCCAAATAAAATCTAGTGCTGACTTGCCAAGAGTCCCGAGTTGAGTCTCCCATACCTCGTTTTAGACTACGGTATTATCTGAAGCAGGCACTGCTGAATATTTGAAGCAGCAAAGATCACAAGCAAGGCAGAGCACTTATACTGCAACAGAACCCAGAGAAAATAGGAAAGGGCTTCAAAAGTTCGTGCAAAAATTCCATTATCTTTTCATTTTATTTCTCCATGAACCTTCTGAAGACCCTTCATACACCCTTCAGTTTAATGTAAACTTCATAAAGTTGTGGTTTTCTCAAAATGGTGTGTTTCCACATAGCAAAACCCAGTTGCAAAACAAAACCTTGCCCATTAATTAAATAGAATCAGACTCAGCAGATATTTGAATGTTAATATCATTTTAAATCTCTTACCTCAGTCACAAATTTACCATGACTAACTATAGTGTTTATTTCGCATCCTTACTGATTTTAGATGAATTGGAAAGAGTTTTATATCCTTACTTATCCATTGAGAGAAGAAAGAAAAACTTCCTGTAAGTTCACTTGAAAAAAAATATAAATCTCCAAAACGTAACATGGCAGGCTATTGAACACTCACCTAAACCAGACTTTTTTAATCGTTTTAAGTGCTGACTTGTTTGTTTTCCAGTGGGAGATTTTTGCCCATGTTTCATTTCTTTATCTGAACTGTCTGCTTCACCATTTTTAGATTCGGATCCTAAAAAAGGAAATAGTTATTATGTCATTATCTTCCTTGTGCTGTCCTTGAAAAGAAAAATCTAAAATTGTTTCTTTTTTTTTTAATGCAGATATCATCTCCTTTTCTAAGAGTTAATATACTCCCTTTGGCTACAATCTGATTCCCCTACTGGAAATAGAGAAAAGACCAATAAATCAATCAAAGAGAACAAAAAGCTAGAACAGATGGCCTAACAGTAGAGCAAAAATCCACATTCCTGTATCTGATAGCTTTTACAAGAAATAGATCTTTTGTTTAGCAATAATAACACGGATGCCTCTCCACAGTCCTGATGCCACTCTGAGACAATGCCAGATAGAGAAAGAGTGAGGAGAGAGGAAGGGCGCCAGAGCAGAGGGAGCTATCCCACCTTTAGAAATAACTTTATGCGGAAGGAGGAGGAGGAGGAGGAGGAAATGCAAGCAGCAGTCTACAGCCTAGTAGAGCTGATGAAGGGACAGAAGGTAAATGAGGAGACAAGGTCAGGGCTGCCGGAGGTGAGAACAGTTCCCAGAACACAAGAAGTCAGAAAGGGTTCCTGGTTTTGCAGCAGCGCTCGGAGGAACATTCATGCCAGGGAAGAACTGCTTTTGATGGCGATGCACACCAGCATGTGGTCCCACCATTCAAGTTCAACACTCACACAAAGGCAAGAGTCACAAAGACAACACAAATCCAGCTAGGCTCACTCCCGGCACGGTTTCGTCAACTGTGGACATGACAAATCTAGTCAGTGGACGGTGCGTGAGCTCGTGCCCCCCACCTTTTGGTTTAAAGAGGTAAATAATCTGCATTTTAGAATTCCTGAAATAGAGGGATTTAAAAACAATTTTTTTTCCTCAATTAAGCCACACCTCAAGTAGAAATATGATTCAGCTTCAAGAAAAGAAAAAGAAAGAAACAGTGACATCTTTCTCAGCCAGGATGTCTCCTTAGGGAAGAAATTGGCCACGCATACAATATTTTAGCTTTTTACCTGAAGGCGAATCCGACTGTTCATCAGACACCTTTAATGGTGTCAAGACAACACGAGGAACAGTCTTGTTTACCATCATTGAGACTCCATTTCTTCTTTTCTGCTGCTGCCTCAGAGCCTACGAAACATGATGATAAAATAGAGCATAAATATATAACTAAAATGCAATGATAACTGCATTAAACGAGATCCATCTGCCCAGCTGGACACAGAGCCTCTGCAGAAACTTCAACTCCACAGAGCCACTCATTGTCAGGATTCGGAAGAGTCACCTTCGAGTAATTTCCCCTCAAAAGCACAAAAAGCAGGCGTTGGCAACGGGTAGAGACCTGAGACCATTTCAGCGCCATTCTAACAAAGCAGCACTTAACGAGTGGGTTGTTCTACGTTGGCAGAATGGCTTGAGGCCCATGGAATGTGAAACGACTCCCAAGCAAAATAAATGTAAAATAAATGTGTCGAAACCAGGATAAAAATATATGTGTCTGCACTTCTCTCGCAGGTGCGCGCTCTCCAGGGCACCGCTCAGTCAATCAAGTTAACGCCGAGCGTCATCAGTATGTACAGCATGTAAGGACTACAGTATTGATGCACTCACTCAGCCGTGGGGAGCACTGCACAAAATCACTGAACATGGCAGCAATCATTTATCTCTGTGAAGGGAATCAGTCCTAATCTGGGGAACCTTGCAGCACTTGGCTTCTGTCTGCTTGACTTTGGGCATTAACCTTCAGAACACGAACATGACAGCATTCCGGCAAATCCGGGAGAGGGGGGGAGGGCGGGGGGCATTGAAAATGATAAAGAGTCAATCTGTCCAAATGGGAACGCTTTGTGTTTCTTCAATGAATCAGCCACGGTGATGATAACGTAGTGAAAGGCATTTAAAAGTTTGGAAATACAGCTTATCTAGCTGATCGTTTTATACAGAAAATTACCTGTAATAAAATAGGGTCTTAAGCACATGAAACTGAAGAGCCATTAAATTCACAGTCGCAGGAAATGCTCAGTCTCCTCCAAAGGTTAAAAGGCTGGCTGTAGACTGTCTCAAACCTTTTTATTCCTGGTTTCTAGGTAATTTCTGTCAATTTTACAGCATCTCAGTTACTTGATTAATGTTCTTCAGCCAATAGTTGTCAGAATCTCCTGAAATATTGCGGACTTTATATCCCCTCCCTGCCAGAAATAATCCCACTTTATTTGGGAAGAGTATTAGCTCAATGTCCAACTTGTTGATCATGAAATTTAGCAAATCAAATAATTACAGATGTGAAAAAGTAAATAAATACCAGTGGACTCAGAGAAGGCATAGTAAGATGATATATGAAGCCACAGGGGAAGCAAATGACTTGGGAACTCTATTACAAATGCTACTGTTACTAATGATAGCAGGAGACGTCCTGCTTTCAATTGTTACATTCGCTGAGTGCTTACGCAGTGCCATGCACTGTCACAATAGAGGAGCCACAAAGATGAATAGGTTCATTCTCCTCATCTCTAGTCCACATCCATTAATTCATTTAACAAGAGCTTGTGTGCTATAAAATATCTAAGGCATTTACTCTTTTCATTCTTCCCAGGAAAGTACATAATTGCATAAATTTCTCTAGCTTTGTGTTAGAACTCAAAGCACTTTATAGACATTAACCTATCAATCCAGGAGTAAAACAAAATGAGACAACGCTGTACTTCAGATGACAATGACAGCCCCCTTTGCCCACTAAGTATGACTTCACAAAGCAGTCAAGGCTGGGGGAAGACAGATCAATTTCCAGGAAGCTGGATGGGTTAGGCAGGGGTTTGCTAGACGCACAGCCCAAGGGTGGTTCACACCAGCAGCTCCACAGGACAAAGCAGGAGCTTTCTGCTTCCCAAAAGACTGTCAGCCTTTGAAACCCCATGGGGCAGTTCTACTCCGTCCTACAGTCATTAGGAGTTGGAAAGCCTACTGAACAGTTTTCTGGCCTATAGAGCTGCGATGAATTGGAAACCCCAAGGAGCAGTTCTCCTCTTACATGGCTGCTAGGAGTTGGGATTAACTTGATAGTAGTGGGCTCTGTTTTTGGTATGCACCATAGATCTCAACTGTGACCCTTGGCAATTCAAGTAGGAATGTTTTCATTGGTATATCGTGTGTGCGCGTGCACATGTGTGTGTACACATGTGTCAATATTTGTAAATGTGGCTTAAAAAATTACTAGAGTTCTAAAGCTGCAATCAAAAGTTCATGAAGTAAAATAGTAAGTATAAAAGCAAAATTTTTGCCTTCAATTACTACAGTGGAGGGGATTTGCATTAATTATAAGAATCAATAAATTAGTACCAAAGGTGGGGCAAATGACCAAAAGAATATGACAAAAAGAAACCCTAGCTATTTTTATAACATTTTGTTTTGTTAGAAATAAACATACAAATATATCATTCACAATTTCTACATAAACAGCTCAATGATACTTCACATTGTATCTCAGCTTTACTCTGTACCCATATATGTTCGTGACCATTAATTTAGGTTCATTGACCCTTAAAATTCTCAGCTGTGTTTTAATTGTTATCAGATTAAGCTCCATAGACTAGTCCTTACTAATTTAAGGTAAACATTTTTTTAAAAAATTAATTGGGCTAAAAATAGCTTGATGAGGCTGTTTTAGTACTAGATGTAAAGATTACTTCCTGATGTTAATTTAGGGTGTTCCCCCAATCTCACTGTATGTTGAAAACACAGCTAAACAAGCCTCAAAGGAGAAATTATTTGTCTCTCACTGTGTAAATAAGAGAGACACTAAAATAACTAGTCCAGTGCAAACATTAGCTTCTATGACCTAAGGCCAAAAGAATGGAGGAGCCACGTGGAGACCCACACCAGTGCGAAGAGGCTTCCCCTGCCACTGGATCCACATGACTTTCCACCCACTGGCCTGTGATCTTCTGCACTTGGTGTCATCGCATGTTTTGTGTGAGTCTCTAGAGGAATTTACAGACTGGTACTGGACATAGGGGCTAATATCAGACTTGATCTGGACAAGGCTACGATGTTTGGGGTGACAGTCGAGAGGTTAATGCTACTGTTCTATTTTTCACATAGGGTATGGTTACTATCTAAACTCTTAGGTTCACTAAGCTCTCTTAGTGAACAAATCTTTAGGAAATGCCTTGTAGCATTTATGACCATAAGTTACAGCCTTTAATAGACCTACTGGTGTCTGAGGCTCCCCATCTCAGACTGAGCCCTCTATTCATTTTGGTATCTCATAGAATGTCCCTTAACACAATTGCGACATCAACTGTGCTCCACAGGATTTTCAACAGCTAATTTTTCAGGAGATCACCAGACCTCTTTGGAGTGACTTGAATTTCAAACCGTTCTGTTAGCATGTCAAGCATACTAACCTTCTGAATCATTATTAAAAGTATTATTACTGTTTAGGGGAATAAAAAAGACCAAAAGAACTGGGTGATGCCTAGCAACCAATACAGACTGCTAGGAGAGAGATCACCTAAGAAGGCCCTACAGGATGAGGGATGGGGAAGGCGATAATGGGGAGCAAAACTAAAAAAAAAAAAAAAATTAAGGCCATATTTAACTACTCAAACAGAGACTTGTGTAACCCCTGAGGCTGAACAGAACTCAATCCCATGGTTCAATTACCAGGCAAGCAATAAGTTTTTTAACATAAATGGTAACCCTGGGGACAGATGCACTCCTTAAAATAGCCAACCATTCTAGATCAAGAGAACAGCAATTGCCCAAGACAAAGTTCAGAAAGCAGGAGGGGCACGGAGAGGAGGCGGAATGGAAAGAAGACACAGAGAAGTAGGATGACGGATGTTACATTACAGAAGGTGCAATCAATGAAGTGAAACAAAATGTGTATAGATTGTTGAATGTCACATAGATTTGCTTTGTAAACCTTCACCAAAGTCACAGTAAAATGATGACTTTCAAAAAAATCAGTTTTCTTTTTCATTTATTTTAAAGGGTAAAAATGGAGTCAAGGCAGGGACAAAGGAATGATTATTAATATTCAATAGATTTATGAATATGTATTTCTCGGTTATTAGAAAATTTTAACAATAAGCATTTTAGAAAATGCTGGAAGTTGGAGAAAAAAAAAATTGTTGGCTCAATTGAGATGCCTGGGATTGTTGGGCTGGACCAAAAAGTAACCATGTATTTATTGTACCCAGAGGCATGCTGAATATTGATTTCTAGCTTTGCATAGTAGGGCTTGCTTGTCTTTTTTCCCCCCCTCCTCCCACTCTTATCCCCTCCTACACACACACACACACACCTCTCTCTTTTGGTTATTTAGCTCAACTTCAAAAAACATGAGGCAGGGTATGGACCAGCGGACTGGGAGTAAGACCAGTGGCAAGACAAGTGAAAGAAACTGGAGGGAGTGGGAGAGCCCCTACTCTGTCTGAGGGGGCAGTTGCTACCCGAGAAAAGCAGCAGGGCGGGATTTTTAGGTGAATTTTTCTGTTTTTAAACTGAGATGACTTGGACCAAATTTAGCCCGAAGGTACCGTTCTATGATGGTTACAACTACGAAACTTCTCTTGCCCAAGGCCACCACCACACCACTGCCCAGCGTAGGTGCTGAAAGGCCTCTCATCTAGGGAGCTGAACTGTAGCAAAAGGGGATAGCTACAGAGATGCTTTTATGGCGATGATGCAATGGTAGGGATGAGGTGGTCTAGTCAGGAAGATACTCAACTAACTAGCTGAGCAATGCCGGGTCAGCTATCTCAACTGAGGCTGTAAAATAGGGCGGTGGTGTTGCTAAGATGTTGCAAACAGGACATCCACAGAACAGTACTACACACCTACACCTAATGGCATACAGTAAATATTCTCCTGTATTTAAATTATGTATCCCCCCTGCGATAAATGCATTTTTAAAGTACCGTGCTAGGATGCTCTGTAAGCAGTGCTGATCCCTATCAGCCAACATGACAATTTTTTGTTATGCTTTGTTTTCACGATCTTACATTTTCGTGAGAAACTGACAAGGAAACACATAAAATAAAAATGATCATTTCACACACAGACAGAGCTATAAAAACAGAAACCAATATAATGAGGCAGCATAACTGAGGTGGGAGAACCACTATAAT